GTATATATATATATTAAGTTCATTCTGAACGCATTCATGCGAAAAGTTTTAATAAGAACAACAACACGAGGATTGGTAATTAAAATCAGTTTTCGATAACTGTGTGTATGCACCATGAAATGTAAATTCAAATGAAAATGCGCTCTACTTTTCATCCTAGATAAAGCATAGACAACAAAACCAAATAATAATAAAAAGGGTATTGACACAAAATTAAAAAAAAAGATATAATATGGGGTACCCCACTTTTTAAAAAAAGTCATCCCACTATCGGCATTAGAATAGTTACACACTATGGTTGGTGTGACTCAGTCTAAAATGCGTCAAGAAGTCAAGGAGACTCTTTTGCTTCAAAATTATTTCATTTATAACTGGATTTTGGAGGAAGTCTGACAATACGGGAACAATTTACTCAGTACTAAGAACAAATTTAATGGTAAAGATGCCATTATTATACAGAAAATAAAAAAGAACAGAGGGGTATTGAAACCGAATTGTGACTTCCAGTAAAAATAATCCCTCATTTATGAAATTTAGTCCATCTATATCTGCGCTCAAATTCCTTACATTGGTAATGTGGTATGTGTGAATATAAATCAAAATATTTAAACGCAATAAAGAACATGAGAGGAATAAATGTTTATTGTACAACTTGATAATTAGTTGCAAGAACACATTGTGTGATATAGAGAGGCTTCGAAAGTAATTCATCACTGTCGAATCATCTTCTCCTGTCACAGATTATCTGCATTCAAATGAGTTCCATTGAAAAGATAATAGGTTGTCTGGAAAATAAAAAGCTTACCACTCTTTCGCTATATTACATTTTGTAAGCAACACATTAGTGAAGTGAGATTAATGAATATAGTAGACTCTTAAAAGCAAGAAGGCTACCAATACCTGTGCGGTAAAATAAATTCAAAATGAAAAAAAAAGAAATAGAAAAAGTATATAAATTGAAACACATCAACTAATAATTGAATAAAAATTATCGATTCGAAGGTACACAGAAGCACACAGAATGTGCCAGTACCACTGAGGTAAATACTAAATTGGCAGGAACCATATACAATTCAAAAATGGATATTTGGTTGGTAACCTTAATGCGACTTTCCTAAAAAAAATACACTTGTAGTTGGCTTTTCTCTTTAGGCCTTCTTCAGATTTAGGCCTTAAGGTCTACAACTTATCACCTTGAGTAAAATGTTTATTGAATAAATGAAGATGAAAGAAGCAGACGCATGTCAACTTCAAAGTGAATTCACAGAAGCGCACACACTTGATGAAATGACCGTATCCTTTTCGTTTCACAGCATGTTAAATAGAGTAATGAAACTAATCACATTTACTTTTTGGAGGAGATCGCTCACACAGCACCGTAATTTTTTACAAAACGAAAATATTCACAAAAACCCAGAGACAGTTATTTTTGTTAATAGAAAACTATTCAAAGGATGAATTGTACATTACTGTTCTGGACCACCATGTTGCTACGCCAGCTATTTTATTGATTACGCAAAGTAAAATACGATACCTTGCACTTTTCCATTATCATACACTTTGGTCTACTGAACGATACATGCAGTAGCTAACAACCATACATTATGTTTATACACGAAGGATTTTAGACTTTCCGTAGATTCGCTGAGTTCAGTTAGAAAGTAAGCGCAATTTGTAAAATTGTACTTGATCATTTTTTACACCTTATTTAACTATCATTCAGGCGTTTCGAAAAAACTTGCCCTCAATGCAACATTTAAATACTATGATGAAGCAACGGAAGGAAGATAAAAACGGACTTATGATATTTACACAACAGGAAAATACGCAAGATTTCCTAAAATTTAAGAAAAAAACGTATGGTCCAACAATTTCATGCTGAAAAGAACTATCATTCTTTGAGATAACCCAGAAAGATTCATAAAATGCTAAAAAGGGAAAAAGCATCCTGCCATATTATTCGACATATTATAATTGCAATAAGTTAATGTCACATGGAAAAAGACGCTTCTCTAAGAATAATATTCGTATTGTTTCTTTTTACATTTTAATGAAAACAGAACATATGACTAATTGTGGTTCCCACTATTCTTTGGTATCATTCAGATATATGTTGTTGAGCTTCGAAACTGTGCTTCATCCTATCCGTTTTTATTGTACTTATATTGATGTTAAAATAATCAAAATTCATTTTCACCCGCATCCTTACGTTCTGCACCTTTAGTGAAAGAACTTCGTTGAAAAACGCGTGCTTACCTTCGGTGAGCAAAGGTAATAAATTCATCCCAATATAACTTTTCAAAAGAAGCTTCACATTATATATATATATATATAATAGATCTTCTATTTTAGTGAGATTAACCACTGAAGGAGGAAAAAATATTCAGTGTGTTTAGTATTCAATAACGCAACGACACGTATATTATCATGATTGAATTTTAAAAAATACATTTTCTAATTTCACTATTCCTGCTCAAGATTTTAATCAATGTCTCTGTAACCAAAACTACTCTATCGAAGTGAAAATACTTTTGTACAAAAGACCCCTTTTAAGAGCAGCATGAAACAAAAACACTGACGTTTCTATGTGGAGACACCATATTTTCTACCATTGTTTACACGACATATAGCATTCAAAATGTTAATTTTCCCTTTTCATTAACGGATTTAATGCGAAAAATATGTAAGCGGATAGATATACATGTATACATATATAAAGTTGTATATATGTAATGTGCATATTACACACTACCGTTAACAAGTTTAAAAAAAAACGAACAATGTGATTGTCCGGTTGTTATTCTTTTTTTGATTCTTTGGTAAGGAAAACCTCAAAAGAAAAAGAGAAAACTAAAATGGTTTCCAATCACTTTTCAATACACAAACCCTCTTCCTTTCCATTAGTATCCACACCAGCCAAACTGGCCGATAAAAGAGAATCGATATTCTCCTCATCCTTTGTGGGCGTGTGAGCAACGCTGGAAGAAATACTAACCCCACCCTCAGTGCTGCTGCTGAGATGCGGCAACGTGGTGCAGTTTATTTTCATTGCGCATCCGTTCAACCCATTCCGGTGTCGAGGTGTGGAGTGGTCAGGACGTTTGGCAAACGAATCAAACGGTGTTGAATCCTCGGCGATGGAGTGTTCGTTAGGCTGAATGTTCAAGGTGGGCGTGGTGAAATCATTATCACTGGTGTTTTTCGCAGCGCCATTCTTAGGACGAACGTCGTAGATGCGAAGGTGGGAACTGGTGAAGGTGAACGGCGCCGTCGTGGTGTGAACACCTGGGTTAACAGGGTAGAAACCGTTACTCGGCACCATCCCAGGGGCCAAGGAGAAGCTGTGCCAACACTCCGATAAAGGAGAAAGGGTGTTCGATGCTGGGTAGTGCAAGGGGCTCTGTGTGACACCATTACCGGACGCGGCCTTTTCCGGTCCCATGGAACCTCCCTCCGTAGTACCCCACGGCGGCAGGTGGCTCAAAGAGCTAGGTTCACTCTTGTGGGCCTCACAGAGAGCGTCGAATTCCCCATCACTGACCTCCCCTGTCGCGAGCACGTTCACGGAGTAGCAAGTTTCGGTCAGCACAACAGTCCGGGTGGAGGAATTAATGCCGTTAAGTGTGGTATAGACATGAGGAGAGAGCTGCAGATGAACTTCGGATTCTCGGCAGATGTGAATATTATTGCAATCCTCTAAGTAGCGGCAGCGGTGAGCAAGATGAAGACGACAAACTGATTTTGCTGGTATATTTAAGATAGCACCCTTATCGTCAGACTCCGGAGCCTCGTCGTTTGGCGTGCTAGGGGGTGCATTATGAACAAGATAACGCAGTAACCCAACCGTCGAAGCAACCTTCTCGGATGAAATAGGCTCACTGTTGCCACCCGATCCGTTATTAACGATTCGAACGTATTTAAAGCGGTTGGTGAGCCTTGAAATATCGTGAGGATCATTGTG